TGTGTGGCGGAGCAGGGAGAAGGCCCCCCCACCGTGTAACTTGGGTGAAAAACCCTTACAGTAAATATACTGTAGTTCTAAAGTCCAGGTACAGTTCGTGATGAGTATTGTAAGAATTTCTCAAAGTAAGTCTTTACTTTCAGATTTCTCAGAATGGAAACTGTTAGTGTTTAATTGCTTCTTTTAAAAACAGGGAGCAGCCATTAGAGAACATCAACAAAGAGGAGAAAGAGAAGCAGTCAGCACTTGCACCCACTATTTAGTGGGGGTCACAATCCTCATAACACTTAAGACTCATTAACATTGCAGTTACACCACAAAAGGTAAGATCCTTAAACCCCACAAACTCTGAAGGATCTTCCCCCAACAGATCTTAAGGATCAGGATAAGGAACACTCACCTCGGCCTCTCTGTTGCCGCTCCTGATGTGGTTGCTAAAAGAAAAAGATGGAAACCACTGCTTTCAAATTATGGATCACCCTGACACAACCCTAGAGAAGTGGGATGCTTTGTACAACAATTGTCTGGCCTTCCTTCGAAGATCTTGATCTGTGGGATTAACATTTGGGAGTGGCTGTTCTTCCAGGTAGGCAGAGTCCAGAGTACAACAGAGTGTAAAGGTTGGTGCCAGGCTTGAAACTGATAATCATTACCGCTCTTTCAGTGCAGCTGAGTTTTATTATTTATTTATTTATTTATTCCATTTATACCCCAGCTATCTGGTCATTGCAATCTTTTTTTGTCACCTTACTCATATTAAACTTCTAGAGTCAAGCGTTTCCTACCCGTCTCTAAAGGCAGCACTGCAATATGGGCAGGATTACATAGGCCAGGGTCCTGGCATGAGGGAGACATTGTAGTCACAATGGGGATGAGGAAAAGGCACTCTTGACCAGAAATGGTCAGTCAGTTAGTGTGATCCGGTCTACAAAAGCTGTTCCCCTGCTGTTCAGTTTAAAGACCTGTTCACCAATTCCATTTTAGCTCAAATTATTTGCTTGCCATAATCTAGCCCAGGGGTCTCCAAACTTTTCAGTGGGAGCGCCACATCATATATGCTCCACATTTTTGAGGGCCAAAGGAAGATGTGCATATGCACGTGAACGCTCCCACACTCCCACCTGCCTGCACACACTCCTGCCCACTGGCCCATGCCCGCCCGCCGGTCCACCCACCTGCTGAGCAGGATAAAAAGGCAAGGTGGGCCAGATGTGGCCTGCGGGCCGTAGTTTGGAGACCCCTGATCTAACCCATCATTGACCCCAGGCACTGCTTTGGGATCACCCTGCCAGTACTCAAGGGCAAGAGAAAGAGAGGTTACTTATCTGTAACCATGGTTCTTCGAGTGGTCCTCTGTGAATCCACACAAATGGGTTTTACTGCACTTACGCAGAACTCCTCGGAATATTCTTGAGCTTAAAAAGACGTGATTAGTAGGACATTGCCCCGTGGTGCACATGCTCCGCCTAGCCATAATACCTCACTTCTGAAATGTCCGCCGCTGTCAAGGCTCTGACTCCCATAAAGCTCAAGACATCATGTGACGGACAACGGGGAGGCTGGGTGGTATGTGTGGATTCACAGAGGACCACTCAAAGAACCATGGTTACAGGTAAGTAACCTTTCTTTCTTCTTCATGGCCTCTGTGAATGCACACAAATGGGTGACCAGCAAGCTCACTTACCGGGAGGAGGGCCATCACGCCAACACCGAAGTCAGCACAGCCCTTCCAAAACTTGCTTCCTTCTTGGCCCTGACATCAAGACGATAATGTGTCACAAAAGTCGAGGGTGTAGACCAAGTGGCCGCTCAACAGATGTCAGATCATGTCTTTTTAAGCTCTAGAATATTCCGAGGAGTCCTGCATAAGCGCAGTAAAACCCATTTGTGTGGATTCACAGAGGACCACTCGAAGAACCATGGTTACAGGTAAGTAACCTCTCTTTCTTCTTCATGGCCTCTGTGAATGCACACAAATGGGTGACCAGCAAGCTCACTTACCGGTAGGAGGGCCAACACCTACCGTGACGCCAACACCAAAGTCAGCACAGCCCTTCCAAAACTTGCTTCCTTCTTGGCCCTGACGTCAAGACGATAATGCGTCACAAAAGTCGACGGTGTAGACCAAGTGGCCGCTCGACAGATGTCAGATCATGTCTTTTTAAGCTCTAGAATATTCCGAGGAGTCCTGCATAAGCGCAGTAAAACCCATTTGTGTGGATTCACAGAGGACCACTCGAAGAACCATGGTTACAGGTAAGTAACCTCTCTTTCTCTTTCAACGCCACGCAACCATGCTGTAGATGTAGCCACAGCTCTCGTAGGGTGTGCCTTCAGCACTTCTGGCAGAGTCTTGCCTGCCAAGTCATAAGCTAAAGTAGTAATAGCAGAGACAATCCACCCCGAGACTGTCTGCGAGGAGGCAGAAAAAGTCTGGAGGAAGTGCGGAATTCCTTAGTCCTAGAAATGTAAAATGCTGGGAAGTGCGCAATTCCTTAGAAATGTAAAATGCTAAGGCACAACAAATGTCGAGGGAGTGGAGCATGTGCTCAACATCAGAAGAGGGATTTGGAAATAACAACGGAAGAATTAGAGGTTGATTAACATGGAAATCAGAAATCACTTTGGGAAGAAAGGACACATCTAGATATAATACAAGTTTGTTGGGATAAAATTGAATGTAAGGGGGATTAGTTCGAAGAGCGAATAGCTTGCTTGCTCGACGTGCAAAAGTTGTAGCCACAGGGAACAAAGTCTTGATAGAAAGAAGTTTGAGATGCGCCGAGGCCATGGGCTCAAATGGTGGACGAGCGAGTGCAAGGAGGACAACCTGGAGAGACCACTGTGGAAGTGGAGGTCGTGGAGGTGGGCGCATGTTCTGCAAACCTCTCAGAAATCTCTTCAAAGTAGGATGAGAAAATAAACGAGAGGCCTCCAACCCTTCAGGCTGATATGAAACTATCACAGAAATATAAACTTTCAATGTTCAATGAGCCAAACCTTGGTCAAACAAATAACAAAGGAACTTGAGAAGGGTGTCCAAGGAGACAGGAACCACAGCCAATTTCCACGATGCAGCAAACGTGATGAAAGCGTTCCATTTATACGAATACAGCAGTTGAGTAAAGGGCTTCCTAGCCCTGTTTAAGACTTCAGCCTCATTGGAAGAATTCTCCATGCAGTGAGGTATAGAGAGTCGAGGTCAGGATGACAAATCTGACCTTCCTCCTGAGTCAGAAGGGATGGTTGAAGAGGTAACCTCAGGAAGTCGGTAGCCGTGTCTCTGAGAGTGGTGAACCATGGTTGTCGAGGCCATCATGGTGCTACTAGAAAGGGATCGGAGTTCAGCTGACGGAGCCTGACTATTATTTGCTGGATGAGTGGAATGGGTGGAAAGAGATAAAGGAGACCGTCGCCCCAGTCCACCATGAAAGTGTTGCCTAGAGAGTTCTCTCCTGTTCCTGCCCATGAGCAGTACCTCTTCATTTGAAGTTGACCTGGTGGCGAAGACATCAAGACCTGGCATTCCCCACCGACTGCAGAGAAAAGAGAAGACGGTGTCATTGAGGGCCCACTCGTGGGTTTGGGTGGTAAGATAGTTCAGACGGTCATTGTCCTCTGTGGTCACGTGAAGGGCCAGCGGAAAGACATGGTGACAATAACACCATTCCCTCAGCTGAATCGCTAAACATAGATTTAAAGAATGGGTGTCACACTGTTTGTTGATATAATACAGGGTGGTCATGTTGTCTGTGATGACCTGGACTCCGCAACCAGCTACGAGAAAATGAAAAGCTCAGAAGGATTTGATGACTGCAAGCAAATCCAGGTGATTGATGTGCAGCAGTCTCTCTGCGCTTGATCACAAAGCGTGGCTCTCTCGATGACTATAGTGTGGACTAAGTCCTTGGTCTCATAGAAAGAAGATGGACTGTCTGTAAAAATTAGGATGCACCAATGCTAATTATTAGGGATGGGGGGTATTTGTATATGAATAAAAATATCCATGCGCAGCTGGAGTTAACAAGGATCTGCCCCTGCTCAAGCATTTAGCGGCAGCGGTGGCCTTGCTCATCCTTCCAATCACTCACGGAGCCCCACTCTCTTCCTGCTTGGCTAGCCACTTGGCCGCCATGCAGGGAGACTCGTCCTTCCTTCCCTTTCTTGCAATCCACAAGCCCAGCTTAAAAAAAAAAATGGCCTCCATGTAGGGAGACTCATCCTTCCTTCCCTTTCTTGCAATCCACAAGCCCAGCTTAAAAAAAAAAAAGCTCTGCCAGTGGAACAAAAGTTCCAGCTTGGTCATGGAGCATTGTCAGGCTTATGTCTGATCTCCTGCACATCATCTGATTGATGGGAAATTGCTTGCATCAGACCATCCCAAAGTACAGGCTATTTTCATCCTTCTACGGTTGGCAAAATGAGTACCCAGCTGGATTAGGGTAAGAGGCAACGTGGAGCCTGCATAATTGAATTGCAAACCACCTAGAGAATACTTCAAGTGCTCTGTCTGGGACAATATATAAGCAGCACACTTTTTTTTCTTTTGGTGTGTGGGTTCTGTCACAGTATGTAAACAGCAATCATGGGGGACAAGGCACTGAGAGGCCTTCACGTTGGGCTCTTCCAGGCGAGACCGTTGCAGTGGCATAGTGCAGGATTGGCACAGGATTGGTTGCCCCGGGTGCATGGATGTTAAGGGGTGTGAAATTCATTCACCACACACACAGCGAACCCCCTTTCCCACTGCCCCACCGTCTTGGGGTCTTGGAGGGTTTGTTTGTTTGTTGGGTTCCCCACCCATTTCCTATGGGTCTTGGGAGGTTTGGTTGCTTTTTGGAGTGTTTTTTTCCCCATTTCCAATCGGGTTTGGGGGGTTTGGTTGATTTTGGGGTTTTCTCCCCAATTTCTGATGGGTCTTGGGGGGTTTGGTTGCTCTTTGATGTGTCCCTCCATTTCTGATGGGTCTTGCATGCTTCCCCTACTTTTCCCTTTGTTCTCTATGTATTTTGGATCTGGTCCCTTTGTTCTCTGTGCATTTTGGACTTTGGTGTGTCCCCCCATTTCTGATGGGTCTTGCATGCTTCCCCTACTTTTTCCTTTGTTCTCTATGTATTTCGGATCTGGTCCCTTTGTTTTCTGTGCATTTCTGATGGGTCTAGCATGCTTGATTGCTTTTGTTTTCTTTCTTTTTTCCCCCCTTCAGCCGGAAAGGATTAATTGCATTTCCACTTGATTGCTTTTGTTTTCTTTCTCCCCCCCCCCTTCAGCTGGAAGGGATTAATTGCATTTCCAATGAGTCTTGCAGTGATTTTTTTTCTTTTTTGGTGATTATTTTCTTTCTACTATAATGCTTTCTAATTGGGAGTTCCAATATTTGCCGGCTAGATGCCACAGTGAAACGATTTGCAATCATATTATAGTCTTCTCCAGTTGATGTTTGGCTTGACTGGAATGATGTTTTCCTTCACCCCTCTCCCCCTCTTAAAAGCTATTTTAAATCAATATATTTCACACCTTCCTCCTGAACCTGGCTTTTTAATTCACCCATGTTGGACATGTAACCCACCTCCAGTGAGCCCTGGGGCCAGCTGAGTAGAGATGAGTGCTCAGGGTTTGTAAACCACAGGCACAGAAATCAAACTTTCTCTTTCTAGGTGGTGATTTCAGAAGTGACCTTTTCCAAAAGAGACCCTTAACAGCAGGCATGAGAAGAGCAGAACAAAGCCCTTCTTCCTTCCTCCTTTCGACAAGCGCCATCAGTTCCTGTGGCTGCTGTTTGACCTGCATGAGGAATTCTAATCTTTATCAGCCATGAGGGGGCAATATTGCTTCTCTGGGAATTGATGTTGTGCCTTTCCACTCTCCAGTCACCGAGAGGTTTTAATAACCTTTGAACTGCAGAGCTCGAGGGGAACCTATGGGTTAGAGAGGGCAGCTCCTCTCGAGGAGGCACAGTGACGAATTGAAGCCCCCAGACTCTGGCTACGCAGCCAGAGACCTCAGCCACTGAACCATCCAACAATGTTAAGGAGTACTACAATTTAAAATCTGGTAACCTAGGAATGGCTGAAATCCAATCATATGAAGTTCTGCCATGCAAGTCTGACGATGTTATTAGCTGCGGCTGGATATTTTATGCGAAAATGGTCCAATTTCTCCCCCCGTCCAATGTTCCTGAAGCTCCTGAGGATCCCTTTGGTCCTGCTGGAGCTTTTGAAGACAGCCATTTCCCTTGTCCTCGAATACGGGCAGAGTGGGGCCAAAGTAGGGCCTGGAATGAGTGACAGCCTGGAGGATGTCTATCAAGGTGACGTTCATTCCAGCTAAGACAGAAGTGATGGAAGGTGAGCAGGCCTTTAAACCGAGGGGCAGGGGAGCAGCTTTGGCAGACAGGATCACACAAAGTGCCTGCCGAAACCACTACACACAGGTCCGCAGGTTCAAGATCCTTTTGGATTCTCAGACGGCAACTCTGGTCTGGTGTGTATTTCCTCTTCGCCATCCAGTGTGTGACTACAGTGCCTCCCTCATGTCAGGACCCTGGCCTCTGTAATCCTGCCCATTATGGGGTGGTGCCATGACAGACAGGTAGGAAGCTATAGAGTCTAGAAGTTTAATATGAGCAAGGCAACAGAAAGAGCTGTAATGATTATCTATTCCAAGCCTGGCTCCGACCTTTACACCATGCTGTACTCTGGACTCTGATTAGCTGGAGGAATAACCACCACCAAACATCAAATTTATCTATCAAGTCCTTCACAGAAAGACCACACACTTTTATGTACACACACAGTTTCCAGTTCTGCTAAGGTTGTATCTGGATTCACCAGGGTGGGCCTTTAATTTAAAACAGTGGATTCCATCTTTTCCTTTCATCAGCTGCAGCAACACAGGGGCCCAGGTAAGTGTTTTTTTGTAGCACCAAATGAGGCTCGGATGTTTGAAGGAAAGTTTCTCCTGGTATATGCCTGACTTTAAGATTTTTTTGAAGGAGGATCCTCTGTGCCCTACCATAAATGAACAATGCCCTGCCAGGAGAGGGAGGAGAGGGCTTGCTCGGCTCTGCCATCTTGGGTGCGGAGGGTTTTCTCTTGAAAGATTGGACTAGTGCCAAGGTCAATTCCGTTTTAATGCCGAGTTTAACCACAGCTGGCCAGCAGAGCTTGTGGGGTTTCTGCATCTTACCTTTTGCGGGGTAATGGCAATGTTTAATGTGTCTTAGACTGATGAGGATTGTGGCCCCACTAAAGAGTGGGTACAAGTGCTGACTGCTTCTGTTTCTCCCTTCTCCTGATCTTCTCTAATGGCTGATCTCTAGTTTTAAAAGAAGCAATTAAACACTAACAGTTTCCATTCTGAGAAATCTGGAAGTAAAGAAATCCTTACAGTAGCCATCACTAACTATATCTGGACTTTAGAACTATGGTACCATATTTTCCCCTCTATAAGATGCTATTTTTCCCTAAAATCATTACTCTGAGAGCTGAGGAGAGGGAAAAAAACAGCCCATACCTTGCCTCTGTAAAGCCACAAGGCTTAGTTTCCTCCAGTCAGGAGATTTATGGAACTAACATCAACGGATCCCGAACAAACCAACTGGAATACACCTCTTTAGAGGTGGAGCCTGTAGGCTCAAGATTCAATGGAGACAAAATGTCTGACCTTCTGAGCTCAGAGGCTGAATCCTCAAAGTTAATTTTTCTTAATTTGGGGGTTAGAAAATTGGGGTGGGTGTGTCTTATAAACGGAAAAATAAAGTATATCCACTGTAAGGATTTTCTTCAGACACTGGGTTAGTACCTTCAGCTGTCCAAATGGACCACAGTGTGATCTTGTGCAACATCCTTTTTCCTCTCGGATGTGGTCCAATGGAAGGATGACTCACATACACCAATTTCTTATAATAAAACAGATTTATTATAGAACTGCTTAGCAACTTCATGGTTACCAAAGTCTTCAGTCTCATGTTTTAAACAACAGGTCATAGTTCTTCTTGTTTTCAAACTGTAACAAATCCCGTTCTAATGACAAGGGTGAAGAACATAGAACTCTATGACTCCATGTATTCGTGAAGGCTTTCACGGCCGGGATCTAATGGTTGTTGTGGATTTTTCGGGCTCTTTGGCCGTGTTCTGAAGGTTGTTCTTCCTGACGTTTCACCAGTCTCTCTGCTGTCCTCTGAAGATGCCGGCCACAGAGACTGGTGAAACATCAGGAAGAACAACCTTCAGAACACGGCCAAAGAGCCCGAAAAACCCACACCAACCATCTATGACTCCACTTAGGTGCCAGGCCAGATCTGTCAAGTGAATCGTATCATTGGGGAAGGTGGAAAACCCAGTCCACCTGTGGCTCTGTGAAGGAGTGTAGAGTGGGAGTGTGCCGTCCTTAGCTGTAAAAGATATAGAAACAGAAGAAAAATCAAACGAAGGGGATCAGACAACAGAACAAATGACAGTTACAGAGAAGGCGGGAGAATTGAACTTGGACGACAGAGCGGGAAAGACAGAGGTTTGCTTGGTGGAAGGAGAGTGGGTGGGGCAAGAAGTATCTGTGTGGGAGGAAGATATAAATGAGGAGGGGGTTAGGTGGTTTAGCTCAGTAGTAGAGGAGTATGAAAAGAAGAAACAAGAAGAGCGTATAAGAGTATTTGAGAGGGTTCGCACCCAGAGCCTCATGAAAGATTTCCTGAACCTGAAGGTCGGAGGACTGTTGCCAGATCCTGAGATAGCAAAGGAGAAGGCTAGCTGGTACATGACTAAGGAATGGACAGTAATTGCCACGCCCCAAGAGCTTGAGCTGCAACGTGAAAAAAGAAGCTTCACGACATCCTTTCCCTGAAGGACCAGACGAGAGAGGGTGGGTGCGCCATACATGTTGTGGGACAATTTATGCGATAGGGAGCTTTCCCCCTCAGAAACCCAAGCAGAAAGAATGGCGTGGGGAGGCTCGCCACTGAGTCCTTGGGATTACAATACAGTGGTGCCCCGCATTAATCCATTCCAGGAAAAACGTCGCTATCCGGAAACATCGCTATACGGAAAGAAAAACCCCATAGGAACGCATTAAACTCTGTTTAATGCATTCCTGTGGGGACAAAACTCACCGTTATGCGAAGATTCCCCATACGGCCGCCATTTTCGCCGCCTCGGTAAGCGAGGAATCGGCGTGAAAACGCTGTGGGTGGCCATTTTGTTGATGTGGCAGCCAATTTGGAACAGCCAATCAGCTGTTTGTGGCGGCCAATTTGGAACAGCCAATCAGCTGTTTCTAAAACATCGCAATGCGAAGATCGCTAAGCGAAACGCTTACCGATCATCGCAATGCGATGGTTTTGCCTATTCAAAACATCGCAATGCAATCGCAAAAGCGATCACAAAATCCACATCGCTATGCGGATTTGTCGTTAAACGGTACACTCGTTATGCGAGGCACCACTGTAAAAGTTTTGTTTTCAATGGTTGTGGCTTGTTGCCAGAATTGAAACCGTTTGAACCTGTAAGCGAGGTGCTGGTGAATGTAGGAGAGAATAAAGAAGACACGTTCAAAGTTATTGAGACGGCTCCTTTATTATTTCCCGCCAAAATTGAGGAGCCGTCCCAGGAGGGAGAAGAACCTGTTCGCAGGCTCCCATACCTTCTTGCCTGGGTTCTGTCTCAGCCTTGGCCTGAATGGAATGGCCTCACGGGGTTCCCCTGGACTCTCTGTACATCTTTGACCTCTTCTCTGGGCCTCTCGTTGTTGTCAAACCTTGGACTCTTTTTGTCTTTTTCTGTCCTTAGTTTCTCCCCAACAAGGTGGCTTCCTATAGATTCGTCTCTTCCACTGTATTCTCTTGGGACTTTGAATTCTACCCATTCCCCCGTCCAGGGGTCTTCCTGCACTATCTCCACCAAAACCTCTTCCTCCTCTATGTTTCCCGCTTCCTGCACCCAACAAGCCTCTTCATCTTCCAACTGCCCCCCTCCCTCCTCCATCCTTCCTTTTATCACCTCAGTCTTTCGCGCTGAAATGGCACCCTCTGGTGTCTCTTCTCCTAAACACCACCCTTGTAAATCTATTATAGTAGACAAGGTTGGTTCATTCCATGTCAAATCCACCAATGAAAAATCAATTTTGGAACTTGATATCATGGATTTGGTTCATTTTTGGTGATAAAGACTCTTATGTCTTAGTTGATCATTTTCCTTGTAGTACACAACAATAGGATGAACAGTTGCCATAGAGTTGTTCCAGTGGAACTTTATGATGTAGATTTTGATCATTTGATCCAGTGGGCAAACTGGATCCAATTACAGCTGCAGGGAGAACATACCAGCTAACTCCACAGGATATGACAAAAGCATCCAGCATGCTAGCCAAGAAAAAAGAAGTTCTTAATCATTAGGTATAGAAATGTTGGTCTATCGCGTTCCGATAAAGCTGGCTGTGTGTGGGCGGTGTCTTGTTCCCCCCAGCCCCATAGCGTTCCGATGGGGCTTGGAGTTGTGTTGGGGTTGTGGTTTTTTAGGGTTATTTTATTTGGTCTGGAACAGATTAATCCTGTTCCAATGCATTCCTATGGGAAATGGTGCTTCGACCTACGACCATTTCAAGTTACGCCCATCTTCTGGAACGGATTATGGTCGTAAGTCGAGGCACCACTGTACAGTTACAGGGAGAACATACCAGCTAACCCCAGACGATATGACAAAAACATCCAACATGCTAGCCAAGAAAAAAAGAGGTTCTTAATCATTAGGTATAAAAAATGTTTGTCTATTTTCGGAGCTAAGTCCATTTAAATCCTTGTCACTGCCATTTTGTTTGATACCATTAAGGTACTAGCCTGGTATTGGATTTGGATTGAATGGCTATATGTTTATCTTTAAGTGTGAACTGTTTGAATCCTCAGCATGAACTCTGCTCCAAAGTTCTCAGCTTCCAGCTGTAGGAACAAATGTTTTGATAAAGCGTTATTTCACTACTGAAATTTAGATAGTAGTCAGGCCAACTCTGAGGAAGACTTCTGAGAGGTCCAAGCCCAAAGAGGGACTTCAGTGGAGGTTGGATCCGACTGGATTCCAATGTCTTGCCCAACAGACATCTCTTGTTGCTTTGACTCTCTCCAATCCTGCTCTCTTCCACAGGTCCACCAAATGCCTCCTCTAAGCAGTTAGTCACTCATCACCATGGCCTTATCTTCATCCTCCAAGTCTGTGGAAAATGCAGCCAGCTGCCCCATCTGCTTTGAATGTCTAACAGATCCCGTGACCCTGGACTGTGGCCACAACTTTTGCCGAGGCTGCATCACCAAATACTCTGAGGAATGGGAATGGATGGGGGAACTGGAATGTCCAATTTGCAAAGCAAAGTTCCAGAAAGGGAATTTCCGATCCAATTGGCAACTGGCAAGTATAGCAGAAGCAATTAAACAGCGCCTACAAAGTCTAGGAGAAGAGGATCTGTGTTTGCAACACAAGGAAAAACTCCCCCTCTTCTGCAAAGAAGACAATAAATTGGTGTGCTTCGTTTGCAAGCAATCCCCAGAACATAATACACATACTGTGATTCGAAAGGAAGAGGCTGCCCAGGAATACAAGGTAGGAAGTTCTCTACATCCTTGGTAATAAAATCTTTTTATTCTTCTTACAGACAGAAATCTTCTTCTCAAAGAGCTGGTGGAATTTTCCATCTGTAGGATTGATGCCAGTTACATTCTGCTTTTACAGAGACTAAATTCCAGAGATGAACCTTTGGATTGAAAGCACTGAAATATTCCTAAGGAGTGTCAGAGTACCCTTAGGCGCCTTTATTTATTTATTTCCATTATTTATATGCCACCTTTCTCTCGATACGTAATCCAGGGTGGCTTACAATAGGTAATACAACAGACTTTTAAAAGACCATATGAATGCTGTTTTTTTAATTAAAAAAAGGTATATTAAGATTAAAAAATCAAGTTTAAAAGCAGCTTCAAAACATTTAAAAACCTTTAAGTCAAAGATCAGCATTTCTGATATAAATTACTCCTAGAAAGCCTTCCTCTTCTCTTTTTCTGTCTCTGAAGGAAAGGTAAACTTCTGTGTTCTCTTCAGGAACAGCTCTGCAGTCGTTTGGAGCTTCTGAAGAAGGAAAGGAAAAGAATTCTGAAATATAAAGAGAAAAGAGAAAAAGAAAGCCAAGACCTCCTTGTAAGTGTAAATCTTATTAAGATGATAAGTTCTTCAAACGACATGAGGTAAATGTTATACAAAAGGAAGGATCAGAGTCATAAGACAGCCTTGATTGACAACACATTTATGGTTTGTGAAGGCCTGACCGATCATAGCCTGTTTTTTTTTAATGAAAGGAGATCCATAAAATGAGACTATATGAATGAGAGCATTGATTTTATAGGTGTAAAACATGATTATTCCAGGAGAATTCTTGTTGGATGACTGATGGGGAACCAGAAACTCCTAATTTCCAGGCCTTTAGATATTTTTTAAAGAGTCTCATCATGTGAATTCACAATTTACAGAAATTGTGTTAGTTAATTCTCTTCCTGAAAGAAAGTGAGGAGGAATTAAAGAACCTCTTAATAAGGGTGAAAGAGGAGAGTGCAAAAATGGTCTGAAGTTGAACATAAAAAAACTAAGATCATGGCCACTGGTCCCATCACCTTCTGGCAAATAGAAGGGGAAAATATTGAGATAGTGACAGATTTTACTTTCCTAGCTCCATGATCAGTGCAGATGGTGACAGCAGCCACGAAATTAAAAGGCACCTCCTTCTTAGGAGGAAAGTGATAACAAACTTAGACAGCATCTTAAAAAGCAGAGACATCACCTTGCTGACAAAGATCCGCATAGTGAAAGCTATGGTTCTTCCTGTATGGAAGTGAGAGCTGGATCATAAAGAAGGCTGACCACCAAAGAATTGATGCTTTTGAATTGTGGTGCTGGAGGATGATCTTGAGAGTCCCCTGGACTGCAAAGAGAACAAACCTCTCCATTCTAAAGGAAATCAACCCTGAGTGCTCACTGGAACAACAGATCCTGAAGCTGAGGCTCCAATACTTTGGTCATCTCATTAGAAGAGAAGACTCCCTGGAAAAGACCCTCATGTTGGGAAAGTGTGAGGGCAAGAGGAGAAGGGGATGACAGAGGTTGAGATGGTTGGACAGTGTCATCGAAGCGACCAACATGAATTTGACCAAACTCCGGGAGGCAGTGGAAAATAGGAGGGCCTGGTGTGCTCTGGTCCATGGGGTCACAAAGAGTCAGACACGACTTAACAACTAAACAACAACAACATACTGTTCAAAGAGCCTCATCATGTGAATTCACAATTTACAGTAACTGTGTTAGTTAACTCTCTTCCTGTCCTAAGCTTCCTTTTCTCCCCTTTCTGTCTGTTTGTTGCAGAGACAAACAAAAGCAGAAATGAAGAAGATGAAGATAGAATTTGGGCAACTGCACCAGTTTTTGGAAGAACAAGAGAAGCTTTTGATGGCCCAGATGGAAGAGGTGAAGAAGGAGATTGCCAGGAAAAGGGAGGAGCACCTGGTCAGACTCTCCGAGAAGCTCTCCTCTCTTGAAGGTTTCATGCGGGAGATGGAGGCAAAGCGTCAAGAACCTTCCAGTGACTTCCTGAAGGTGAGACTAGCAGGAGCAGAGCAGACGACTATCCAGGGGAAAGCTGGCTCTCGAATACTTCTCTGGCTCCCACCTACAAAATGAATAAAGGGACCCAGTTTGAGGTACATAGAGCCAACTTTAGTAAATGCTGGAGCATCAAGAGAAACAGAAGAGTGTGTTTAACTCAGTGCTGACTAAATACTGAGGGAACTCTGTCTGTGCTCCTGTCCTCTGAAGATGCCGGCCACAGAGACTGGCAAAATGTTAGGTAGAACAACCTTCAGAACACAGCCTAAGAGCCAGAAAAACCCCACAATTTTTTTAATTATAATTTTGCTAAAGGTAGGAAAGGTTTGTGCCCTTAGGTATTTCAGTAAATGATGGCCTTCCCATGATTCCCTGGAGACATTACATTGAATATCTTTATACAATCCCTAAATTCTAACATACATCGTTATCTCAAAGGCAGAATGAGAAGGGACCCCCAGGTATCAACCTTTTTCAAGTTGTGAAACCCTTTTATAATAGCCAAGTGACCTGCAACCACCAGGCCTATTGGCATAAAATGGCATTTTTAATGGGGTTAACTATCATGAGAAGAGAAACCTCCCTGGAATAGACAATAATACTAGGAAGAGGAAGATGGAGCCTTAAGCTGGATTGACTCAGTAGAGAAACCATGGACTTTCAGCGGGTTTTTGACTAAGGTTTTGGGGGAGTGGGGGAGCATTAATTCATGGCGGCCCCCCAAAGTGGAAGCAACTTGACCTCAGGCAACACTGCAATGCTATTGCCTGATGAGGAGTCCTCTCCACTCTGCATCCCAGTTTTTCCTAGCCTCGGTTCCAGCCAAGCTAGGATAGACTCACCAATATCATCCCCAGGAAGAGAGGAAGCTAGAAGGGAATCCTCAGACCCCTGAAGGGAAAACAGCCCCCAGTGGATGAGAAACCCCATTTTTCTCATGATGGGTTTAAAAGAATGCACACCCCCATCCCAGCCACCCTGTAAACCCCCATGGGACTCACCATCCCTTCCTCTCTAGGAAATCAACTCAGTGCCTTTAACCTTTGTTGAGAAAGCAAAGCAACTGGTATCTCATTCGCATCCAGATAGGAAAACCCCTGGTTTGTTTAAGGTGCTGACCCACCTAACCCAGAAAATACTTTGAGACACCCCCTCCCCTTGGGGGTCATGACCCACAGGTTTGAAACCCCTATGCTAAACTCTTTGTTCCTTCTCTCTTTTCCCTCAGGATGTTCGGGGCATCTTGCAAAGGTAAGTGGAGCTGCTCAATTCCATTAGTGCTTCATGATACTGGAAGGGCCTTTGTGCAAGAGAAGTGGTCTTGTATTCTGGTGGAGAGATAATGTTGCTCTCCAGCATCACAGAGTAAAACAACGGGTATTAACAATGAGCACCCCATTTCTCCCACCCAAGGGCCCTGCCACAGACTGAGCCTTTCCTCTCCTCCCTGGCAGACAGTTGAAGATTCTCCTAGGCCCTCTTTTTCATCTAATATGAACATTTCCTCTCCTCTCCTTTCTGTAAAAAGTTACGTTCTCTCCTGGATCAACACAGAGGTTATGAGGAAAAGTTTGCCTTTACCAGCAAAGTCAGCCCTCTTTGTCTTCTCATTTCTGGTAATCTCTAGAAATCTCTCTGCGAGAGGAGCTGTTATTGCAGAGCAAGGCTTCATGCATTCAAAAGCAGCAGGGGTGAAGGAACAGATAAGGAAAGCAGACACGGCCATGGTCTTTTAGAACTGGACATCAAATGGTGGTTGAAATCTATGCACGCAGCTGTGCCTGGGGAAAGCTGCCAAGGTCATCAGAGGAAATAATTTTCAGTCATTTAAACTTCCTTCATCAGTCCTGCAGCTTTTCCAATTCCTGAGTAATCTGTGTCATAGCATGGAAGTTGTGGGAGCCACAGGGTGGGAGGAGGAAGTCTTTAATTACCAAGCTTCTCCCTGTCATGTGGTTGCAACAATTTATGGTACGTAAAGGTTTCTCCTGTCCTGCAACTCTCAGTTTCCATGCAATGATAGGCATTACTTGGGAGATTAGCTGTGGGATAGCAGGAGAAAATTTTTAATTCCCAACCATCACTCCCTTCAGCCTCCCACAGGTTTAACTACACAAACTGGATTACAGGTAGTACTTACTTACTTCATTTTATACTACCTTCCCTGCATTTCCTGTCTTTTCCCCACAAATGGAAAATGTTCTATTTCTGTAAGTTTCACTTTGTGGCTGAGATGAAAGAATGAACCCTTTTCCTTCGCCAAATAAATAAATAAAAAAGACTCCTAGTCCATCAGTCCAACCACAATACCAACCTGGTTCTCAGCTAGAGCTCCTGACATTTTAGCCCACTAAATCCCGACTTTGGTTATGAGACACAATAAAGACTCTTGGTCTCTAGGGTTTTAATCTGAGGGGATTTGGAAGAACCTCCCACTCCTACCATAGACAGTACCAAACCTCCAAAAGCCATTTTCAGTAATTTTAAAATATTGAAACCTTGAATCACTAAATGGAGAGTTTAGGGTTTCTTCCTTACTTGAGGTAGAGGTGGGGACAGAGGCTCTTAGATTCCCTTACAAATCCCATGAAATAAAAACTACAGAAGCAGACCAGTTTTGAGGAAGAATAATTGCATTTTTAAACTTGAAAGGCCCCAAATGAAGGCCACGAGGACTGCAAAAATGCCCCTAAGGTTCGCCTCCTGCCTGAGGACCATATAAGGCCTATGCGTGTCTTCGTAGGTTTCCTCTTCCACTCACCCCCTTTATTTTCCTTCAGATGAGAATTCTGACTTGGATAGGATGGGCGGTGAAGTGACCTTGTTTTTCTCTCCATCAGCCGTGAGAAGGACGAGACATTTCAGAATCCTGAGGCTTTCTCTCCTGAGCTGAAGTCGAAGATACAGCGTGTCTATGATAGAAATGCCTTTCTAGCTGAGAGGATGAAGCAGTTCAAAGGTAAAGCAGAATGCCGGCAAAGATTGGCCCTGGTCCTAAAGGGAACGAGAGAAAGTGTGGTTTTTATTTTCTTACTGTCACAAACTGCAATCGAGCTAACAAAGCCCAGCCACTCTTTCCTTTTCCTGCTCTCAGAATAGACACAACATATGGTGACTCTCAGGCTCTGTGGAATGGGGTGGGAAGAGGATCTTGATTATGGTGAAAAGACAACATTGTGTGGGTGGGTGTGTTCCCTCCCATGTGTATCAGTTTCACACCACTTACTCATCTACCCAGTTTAAGGAGGTTTCTTCAATGAAGGCTGCAGAGGGATTTGTTAAGGAAAACTCCAGCTCAGATATATTTGATAGGTGCTGTTTGGTAACCCTAGGGACGTGGGTGGCACTGTGGACTAAACCGCAGAATTAAGGAAAACTCCAGCCCAGATATATTTGATAGGTGCTCTTTGGTAACCCTAGGGACGTGGTGGCGCTGTGGGCTAAACCGCAGAAGCCTGTGCTGCAGGGTCAGAAGACCAAGCAGTCGTAAGAGCGAATCCACGTGACAGAGTGAGCGTCCGTCGCTTGTCCCAACTCCCGCCAACTTAGTGGTTCGAAAGCATGCAAATGCGAGTAGATTAATAGGGACCACCTCGGTGAGAAGGTAACAGCGTTCCGTGTCTAAGTCGCACCGGCCATGTGACCACGGAAGATTGTCTTCAGACAAAGCGCTGGCTCTATGGCTTGGAAACGGGGATGAGCACCGCCCCCTAGAGTTGAACACAACTGGACAAAAATTGTCAAGGGGAACCTTTACTTACCTTTGGTAACCCACGAAAGTTGAGAAAGGAATACATTAAACAAGGTACTCTGATTTTAAAAAATGGTTACAGAGAAGATACTCCTAAGAGAAACCAGCATTTTATAACATTTCATAACAACACCACATTTCATAACAATATTTCATAACATTTTACAGTGATCTTACAATGGAGCGGGAAGTCTGTTATTTGGGCAGGGTGTTGGCGCAGTAGCAATCAAACCTAGAAGAAGAGCGGACAGACGATTGAAGGCTGTCCCCTGTTCTGGCTCTGCTGCCACCTGTTTGAACCTAGGTAACCAGCCTAGCTGGCCTCCGTCTCTGTCCCTGGCATTGATAAATGCCAGGTCTGCCCACAACAAAACCCAACTCATCCGGGACTTGATCCTGGAGAAACGGGCAGACCTGGCCTGTATAACTGAGATGTGGGTGGGCACTGAGGGCGGAGCTACTTTTTCCCGCATGTACCCACTTGGGTATGCCATCCAACACCAGGGCAGACCAGGCAGGTGGGGGTGGGGGAGCGGCCATTGTTTATAGGACATCTTTGAGGCTGCTAGGCTCTCTGCAGTGCCAAGCCTAGGTCTAGAGACCGTCCACATGTCATTCGAGGCCAGGGGTGGCTTTGGGATTGTGCTGGCACACTGCGCTCCCCATAATCCAGCATCGTCCCTGCCGGAGCTGGCGGACTTTATCTCCGTGGCACTGTTGAAGTCCCCCCAGACTTTTGCTTCTGGGGGACTTCAACATTGATGCAGAGGCTGAGGTTTCCGGTCCAGCTCATGAGTTCCTGGAAATCATAGCTTCCTTGGACTTGACCCAGCAAGTCAACAGTTCTACCCATGTGGGCGGCTATATGCTGGATCTGGTCTTCGGTGCCGAACAGAGAGAGTGTGCTTCAATGGTGGCCAACCTGGTATTGGACTCCTTGTTATGTTCTGAGCACTACCTACCGTGTTTCCCGAAAATAAGATAGGGTCTCATATTAATTTTTGCTCCAAAAACGCATGAGGGTTTATTTTCAGGTGATTTTTCTTTAATGTACAAAAATATACATTTATTCACATACAGTCCTGTCATCTTCTTCTGGTTGCCACACAATGTTGGAGGGTGGGGTTTCACTTAACTGGGGCTTATTTTGGGAGTAGGGCTTATATTACAAGCATCCTGTAAAATCATGTTGTTATTTAGTCGTCTCTGACTCTTTGTGACCCCTCCTGTCTTCCACTGCCTCCTGGAGTTGGATCAAATTCATGTTGGTCGCTTCGGTGACACTGTCCAGCCATATCGTCCTCTGTCGTCCCCTTCTCCTCTTGCCCTCACACTTTCCCAACATCAGGGTCTTTTCCAGGGAGTCTTCTCTTCTCATGAGATGACCAAAGTATTGGAGCCTTAGCTTCAGGATCTGTCCTTCCAGTGAGCACTCAGGGTTGATTTCCTTCAGAATGGAGAGGTTTGTTCTCTTTGCAGTCCAGGGGACTCTCAAGAGTCGCTTCCAGCGCTACAGTTCAAAAGCATAATTTCTTTGGCGGTCAGCCTTCTTTATGGTCCAGCTCTCACTTCCATACATCGCTGCAGGAAGAACCATAGCTTTGACTATGCAGATCTTTGTCAGCAAGGTGATGTCTCTGCTTTTTAAGCTGCTGTCTAGGTTTGTCATCACTTTCCTCCCAAAAAGCAGGCGTCTTTTAATTTCGTGGTTGCTGTCACCATCTACAGTGATCATGGAGCCCAAGAAAGTAAAAATCTGATTTGCGCATGCATGTGCACTCCAGCATGCCCATGCAAGGGCCACACTGTCATTTGTGCACGCTTCTGAACACCCACAGAAGTGCTGCGTCACCTTTTACACATGCGCATGAGCGCACCCACACATGCGCTGCACCACCATTTGTGCATGGACATAAGCACAAGAGTGAGAGTGTATGCGCTTGTTCACACATGCGCACTAGCATGTGGGTGCCCTGCCTTCCCCAGCCAGTCCGCAGGGTGAAAAAGGTTGGGGACCCCTGCTCTACATAATAATCAAACATACCATGAGCAGGGTAACAAAAATTCTAAAATGTCCTGGTGAACATCTTTAAGAGAGAAGTTTTTAACAATAATCTGTTCTCCAGATTCCTGTGATGATTTTTCACCACCAAAGTTTGGAATAAAGTAAAATTAAATAAATTTTCTGAGATGAACCAGAATCTTTGCCGTTTTTACTTAATCCTCTTTTAGAAGCCTGTGCAATGTTATAAATTGCTATTTGTGTGTACATGAGGCCATACTGGGTGACTTTTATATCTTTTTGCTTTCACAGTTACTTTATTATGTGGACCCCAAGTACAGAAAGGTAGGTTTCTAATGGCTCACACATTTATGTAAAGGATGGGTGCAACTTGTTGTGAGGTTCTTTGGATGTGCAAAGGGTTTGAATCCAGTTGTATCCAAGTGAATCTATCTAGAGTAAGTCCGCCAAATCACTTGCTTGCTCCTTTTGCAGCTTTTGAGCCCAGAGTTGCCAGAAGAAATGTTCACAAAAAGGAGTGGCGGAGGGTCAATAAAGCATTACACCTTAAAATTAACAGTTTTGTTTCTAAGGGTCTGTCCCCGGTTTTAAAAAAAAGTACAAACATAAACACTTTGGAAGAATCTTGGCGAAAAGTGAGGGAAGGACACTCAAATTCTGGCATGATAAAAAATTTATACTTATTAACAATTATTATCTTCATTTCTGTTGGTCCATCTGTACTGAGAATTTGCTCACATTTCTTTGTACCCGTGGTATTGGTGGTGCCATCTGGTGTCCAAATCACACAGGACAGAAACTGGTGTCAACAGAGTCAAAGCTTTCTTTTCTTTTAATTTTCTTGGGGCACGAGTTTTTCCTCATTTCTTCTTTTCTTAATGTTATAACTTTCACACGTATTCGATTCATCCACTGGCCAGATCTAAGGGCAGCTCTGGCTACAATCCATCTTTCAACCTACACAGTGTTCTTTTCCTGTTTGTTTTTATTATATAGGATTTATTTTTATAAATGTTGGAAGAAACTAAAATGGCGGCTTGTACAAAACTGCTGTGGTGCGTTAATGACGCAAGTCACACCACTGAGGTTCTCCCCACCTCATTCTCTTCACTTTTTCTTCTGCTCTTTGTCCCCAAACAGCAAATGTCACCCTGGATCCGGACACAGCACATCCCTCCCTCGTCCTGTCTGAGGACTGTAAAAGTGTGAATCGTGAATTTAGATGGCAAAAGGTGCCTGACAATCCTAAGAGATTCAGCTGGTGTCGTCATGTGCTGGGACGTGAGGGATTCAATGCAGGCAGACATTTCTGGGAAGTCACTGTAGAAAATGAGGGGTTTTGGGCTGTGGGGGTGGCCAGAAAATCTGTGCGGAGGGAAGGCCATGTTTCTTTGAGACCTGAGGAAGGGATCTGGGTTGTGGGGGGATGGAGAGAGGAATACAGGGCCTTCAGTGATCCTCTCGAATATTATCTTCCCCTCAAGGGGAAACTGAGGAGGATCCGGGTGTCCCTGAACTATGAAGAGGGCCAGGTGGCCTTTCATGATGCTGACACAGGATCCCACCTCCACACCTTCTCTGGAGCCTCTTTCTCTGGGGAGACCCTCTTCCCCTTCTTTCGTGTGGAAGAAAACGCCTCCATCACAATCTCCCCTTAAGGCCGGGGTTTCCGACATTTTTCACCCTGCAGACCGGCTGGGGAAAGCGGGGTACCCCTGGCACTCGTGCACATGTGCGAATGGCAGCGCTTGTGCGGGCCGGTGCAGACCCGCATAAGCACCTCACCGCTAGCGGGGTACCCCCGGCACTCGTACGCATGTGCGAATGGCAGTGCTTGTGCGGGCTGGTGCAGACCCGCATAAGCACCTCACCGCTGTTCACACTTGTGCACAAGCGAGCACGCAGGCGCAAACAGCCTTTGTGGGGGTGTTTGCATGTGGTGGGTGGGGCGGGAGGTCTGTCTTCGTGGCCCAGTCCGGCTCAAGCCACGGACCGGGACCGGGCCACAGACTGAGGTGAACCAGAATCTTTGTAGTTTTTACTTAATCCTCTTTTAGAAGCTTATGCAATGTCAAGGACCTCTGCCTTAAGGCAGCCAAATCTATCTCGGGGGAAATCAGCCTTGATCTGGGAAATTGTGCCTCCTGCCCCTTTTGCAAACCCTCTTTCCCCTCAAAAAAAAGCTTCTGGCTCCAAAATCCTTCCCAGAAAACAAACTGAAGGAACCAACAAGTGGATCTGCTTTTCTCCCTCTCTTTCCCATAATCCTTTTCTCCCTTTACCAATAGGTTCTTAAAGAGACAGTAGCCCTTCCCCCCCCCCATGTCAGAAATCTCACCCCCTGTATTTTCAGGAAGAGTGCCACAGCCATGACGCTCACCCTTTGTTTCTAGTTTCTCTTTTCCTTTGCACCAACCTCCCAAAACGCATGTTCTTGCTCCTAATATACCCTGTCTCTACCATCCACCCAAAACATAAAATGACAAAATCTTTCTTTCTCTCAAGAGCTCCGTCCCCAAGAATGAGGAAATCGTTGTTACTTGTTGGGGGAATGTGCCATTTCAGGCCAAATCTCTGACCTCAAGAAAAGTAACTTGTGCATTTCCCTTGCACAAATAAATATGCTTAGGGTGGCCTGATGTGGTTTTGGATGGGGCTTCCATTGACCTAGAGCAGCACAATGGCATTCCAGTGGAGGGAGAAGCTCTCCCTTAAAATATGGATGTTGGCGGAACTCGTGTGTAATTAGCATTGATGCATAGGCAGGTCCAAATTTTCACAGCCAATGCATCTGCCATGTGTAATATCTATTTCCGTTAACATCTTCTTTATTAATGGAACAAAGAACAGAACTGAAAATATCTTTCTTACAGGACTATTGCCTCAATTGAAAGTGAGGATGGACTTTTGTGAACCTGGGGTTACTCAATATTAGATTAGTTGATTGTTGTTTTTCCTATTTTCTAAAGAATAAGAAGAACTGAAAAAGCAGCCATCTACTTGTACAATCTCAAATATTAGTAGGAGCCATAGCACTTAGTGACAATTCTTTCTTTGAAAGCCACTGCATCTCCACAGAGATGTGAGCCATGAGCTCTCAGGTCATTTCCAATTTCCAAGTGACCTGCAAAGCATTGTATCATTTAGAGCCCGGCTCAGGCAGAGTGGTGTCAAAGCAGCGCCTGGATTCAGTGTCGGCCTGGAGGATGGCTAGCAAACTCTGCGTTCCTTCTCTCTTTTCCCTCAGGATGTCCGAAGCATCTTGCAAATGGAGAACCTCCATGATAGAAAAAAGTAGAGGGGCACTGCTGAAGCAGGATGGCATATATCGTATTAGAAAGTGCCTGTGGAAATGGACCCCAGATGTTGTGGGTCACACTGGTACCCAAGAACACACTGACCCCAAAAAGAAATTGATAGAATACCCCATGTTGTTGTTTTCCGCTCACACTTGAGGTCATCCATGAATCTCATCAAAGAGCGATAACCAATTTTGAACCATAATATTTCCTTCTCAAAGACTTTGAGGAGGAGGCCTGGACTTGCCTGCATACAATAAGCACAAGGTAAAGGTAAAGGTAAAGGTTCCCCTTGACAATTTTTTTTTGTCCTGTCGTGTTCGACTCTAGGGGGCGGTGCTCATCCCCGTTTCCAAGCCACAGAGCCAGCGTTTTTGTCCGAAGACAATCTTCCGTGGTCACATGGCCAGTGCGACTTAGACACAGAACGCTGTTACCTTCCCACTGAGGTGGTCCCTATTTATCTACTCGCATTTACATGCTTTCGAACCGCTAGGTTGGCGGCAGCTGGGACAAGCGACGGGAGCTCACTCCGTCGCGTGGATTCGATCTTACGACTGCTTGGTCTTCTGACCCTGCAGCACAGGCTTCTGCGGTTTAGCCCGCAGCGCCACCACGTCCCACTCGCAGCGCCACCACGTCCCACTTCACAATAAGCACAGACATACAAATAAAGAACTGCTCACCCATGAGAGGCCACACACAAGAGTGATGGGGAAATGGACACCAGACTCCATTAACAAACTCAGGCACCAACTCTGTCTATGCAATGAGTCTGGCAAGATGTAACAGCAGCTCTGGCTGCAATCAATCTCTCAACCTTGATAGTATCCCTTTTCTTTATTAGACAGGTTTTTTTAAATATATGTTGAAAGAGCTTAAAACAGCTGCTTGTACAAAACTGCTGTGGAAAGGTAATGTCACAATTGATATGGATAGGTGAAGCGATAGTTCTTTTTTAATATTTTTATTTTCACGGAAGAAAAGAGAAAGAAAAGCAACAAGCCAAGTATAAAGGAAAAAGAAAAAAAACTGACTAACCCCTCAAATTAAACCCTCCCCGCTTTGGAGTCAGAGACTCCAGCCTTGTTAACCCCTCTACTCTCCCCGATTTGGTTTCCAGTATATACTAAGTAGATACACTAATATCATAAACTTTGCCATACGCTCCTGTCTTCTTCTGGGCCCAAGAATATATTAGTTCCCAGCTTTGTTTTACGTAGTCTCTTGGTTGTTCCCATAGTGCTTCTGATAGAATGTCCAGTTCTGCTATAACCCATTGCTTCTTTAACAGCTCTTCTATCGTTGGAGCCTCTTCAGTTTTCCATGGTGAAGCGATAGTTCTAAGTTCACAGAGAATTGAGAAACAAAAGAGGAAAGTGAAAGTTAAGAAACATGAGTTGGCGTAGAGTTAGAGTAGCAAGTAGGGATACATATATGGACATAAAGTGCACTTGCGTTGTGTGATAGGTAGAATGTGAGCTCTCCGCGTTGGTCAGGATTGGCCAGAGGGACAGAGAAGGTTGTGTTGCATCCGATATAAAATGTATTGCTGAATGCTTGAATATCAAGAGACCACACACCCCCAGGTGTGTTCTCTCCATGCCTGCAGATATGAAATAAAATTTGCTTGCTGTAAGTCTTCGGTGTGTGTGTGTGTTAACGGAAGAGTGCCACACATAACACAGTCACACCAGTGTGGTTCTTCCACCTAATCCTCTTCACTTTCTCTTCTGCTCTTTGTCTCTCTTTGTCCCCAAACAGCAAATGTCACTCTGGATCTGGACGCACACATCCCCTGGTTTGTCCTGTCCGAGGATTGCAAATGTGTGAGATGTGAAATCAGATGGCGAAAGATGCCTGACAATACTGAGAAATTCGACCTATGTCGTTACATGTTGGGACGTGAGGGATTCACCGCAGGCAGACATTTCTGGGACGTCACTGTGGGAAGTTTGGGAGCCTGGGCTATAGGGGCGGCCAGGAAGTCTATACGGAGGGAAGGCTATATTGAATTGAAAACTGAGGAAGGGATCTGGGCTGTGGGGAGATGGGATTGTGGCCACAAGGCCTCTGACCTTCCTGAGCAATCTTTTCTGCCCCTGAGTGGGAAGCTGAAGAGGATCCAGGTGTCTCTGAACTGTGAAGAGGGAGAAATGACCTTTCATGATTTACATACGGGATCCCATCTCTGCACCTTCTCTGGAGCGTCTTTCTCTGTGGAGACCCTTCTCCCTTTCTTTTACATCGATGGAACAGGTTCCCTCACAATCTCCCCTTAAGGCAGCCAAATGGACCTCAGAGAGAGGCTATCAACCTTCCAGGAAATCCTCTGAACTAAGAATGAAGGCTATGTTTCTCCCTCATTTTCTCAGAATCTTTTCCTCCCTTTGCTAATAAAAGTTTTAAAGAGACAGTAGCCCTTTTCCTCCATGTCCTCTGTATTTTCAGGAAGAGTGCCACCTCCATGACTCTTACTCTTAGTTTCAGGTTCCTGTTTTCCTTTGCTCCAACCTCCCCAAACACATACTCTTGCTTGAAAGATACACTGTCCCCTCCATCCAAAAATATAATAACACATGCTCTCTTTCACTCAAGAGCCCCGACCCCAAGGATGAGGAAATTCTTGTGACTTGTTTCAGAGAAAATCCCTTGAAGTCAAGAAAGCTGACTTTCGTATTTTCCTCACACAATTAAGCACGCTTGGTGTATTATTCCAGAAGATGCATAAGCTGTCCCTTACAATATGATTGTTTACAGAACTTGTGTGTCATTAGCATTGATGCATGTACAGGTCCTAATTTTCGCAGCCAATCTATCATCTTTGTATAGTATATTCCATGGACAAGTTCTTCATGGAACAGAATGGAAAATATCTTCCTCACTGTTGCCCCAAATGAAGGTGGGGAGAGACTTTTTTGTGAACCTGGGGCTACTTAATATTAGATGGGTTGGTTGGTTATTGCTCTTGTTGTTTTCTTATTTTCTAAATAATAAGAATAATTGCAAAAGCAATTCAACCATCCACTTTACGATTGCAACCTCAAATATTAGTAGGAGCCACAGTACCCAATGACAATTCTCTTTCCAATTCTCCTTCCTGCATGTGGCTGTGAATCCACAGAGATGTGAGCTATCTGCTATCAAAGCACTTCCAAGGTATGGTGACTCTAAGAATCAGTGAGGCACAGTGGTGCCTCGATTTACGAACATCCCGACTTAACAACCATTTTGAGTTACGATTAACTCTGGCTGCAAAATTTTGTTTCGACTTGCAGCCGGAGCTTCAAGTTGCAATCAAAGAAAGGCAGGGAAAAAAGGTGGGGAATTCAGATTTGCTAACCGTTGGTCGGCGAAGAGGCTGCTTCTTTGTAGCTCGTTCGCCCCAACGGTTAGAGTGAGTGCGTCGGAGGAGGTTTGGGACTGCCTGGTAAGGTAAGGTGCTGCTTTCTGCTTTTTAAAAACTATTCTGGGTGGGTTTTACAGGGTGAGTTTTGGCTGGGGGGGGTTATGTTTCTGTGCTGTGTTGTTTTGTTTTTTGGAGGGTTTTTTTTCAGCCCCAGCACCTTCCAATGGGGCTTGCTCCGTTGCTTATTTTTTGTTGTTTTGTTTTTAAGCCCCAGCGCCTTCGAGGCTTGCTCTGTTTATTTTTGTTTTTGTTGTAGGCTACAAGATTGCTTTCCATGAAGAATGGGACAAGATCCTTTTGATGGTCACGGAACACAGAAATCTTAAAACCACCTGGCAGGAGATGCCACTGCGGTAATCTGGAGCCCAACAACTCTGCCTTTTTCTTCAGTAGCTCCTAATCCCTGACAAGGCCCTTCAGTTCACGTGTTATGGGGCGTGGTTTAGATGAGGAGGGCAGGAGAAAATGTGGGTCCTGTGACATAGATAGTTCAGGACCAGAAGTTTCCTTCTATTCCTCTTCCTTGTTTGACTCAAGTGAGAATGATTCTGGTACATCAGAAACTGACTGTCCTTCTCTGTGGGGTACTGGGCATATAGCTGATAGAATGTTTGGATAATGTAGAGCCCACTTTTGATTCTTTGACACACCTTACCCAACTGGAGGCACCATGCAGAAGTAACAATGGCTGGTATGATCTGTTGGGTCTCTCCAAATCATTGGCACAGCAAAGGGCATAGATTTCCTTTTCCTGTACAACCATTGGCGAAGATTTGTTGCACAAATGTTGCAGCACATGTGTGGGGCCCACCTCTTATCCTGATCTCCAGTTTTGCAGTCAAAATGAAGGTAACAAGTTTTCTTAACCATAGTGATTAAGCTGTGCTTTTGTGATACGAAAGTCACTCCATTACAAACATAGCAGAAGTTATCTGGACAGTTCACACAAGTACTAGGTCCCTCTGCTCACTTTGGCTAAACAGAAATGTGTCCCATTGAGGTAGCAGCGGCGGAGGCCAGCCTGGCCGGTCTGCAGCACTCGCTGGCACTCCAGGGCCGCCACCTCGGCGGCGTACTTGGCCAAGAAGGCACGGAAGCCCTTGTCGGCACTGTATGATTTCTAGTGCAATTTGTTCGGCAAACGTCATTATTTTCACTATTTACTGGAGGTAATGAAAAATTATCAAAGAACTGGTGGCGACTCTTATGAGGGCTGAATGAAATTACCCGGTGCTGGAAAGATGATCAGGATCTCTCTTTGCCAAGATACATGAGTAAAATAGGAGCGGTGTTGCTGATGAAGAAACTGACTAACTGGGTTAGATTATACAGAGGGGAAACTGAACAAGATAACATTTGAAAATATGGCACCCCATAGAGCAGGGGTCCCCAACCCCTGGTCCGAGAAACTGGCTAACCGGGTTCAATTATACAGAGGGGAAATTGAACAAGATAATTTTTTGAAAATATGGCACCCTGAATTGATGTCTGACACTGAGTCAAAAAATAGAGTATATAAAGTGGGCAGTGAGCTGGACTGCTGGTTAGTTTAAGTGGCATCAGCTAAACGTAAGAATGCAATGATGAGCCACTGAAGAGGCTTTTTAAAAAAATAAAGAGATACAGGTAATACTATCACTTCCTGTGATCTTGATTCTATCCCCCTGTTGATGCAGCCAAGGACTGTGTTGGCTTTCTTGGCAGCTGCAGCACATTGCTGACTCATCCCTAGGCGGTGGTCCACCAGGACACCTAAACCCCTCTCACAGGTACTACTGTAGAGCCAGGTACGACCTATCCTACACTTGGTTTCTCCTGCCGAAGTGCAGGACCTTACTTTTCCTGCCACTGAACTGCATCTTATTGGATTGGGCCCAATGTTCAAGTCTATCTAGATCTTTCTGAATGTTGAATCTATTTTCCAGATTATTAGCGATCCCCCCCCCAGCTTTGTGTCACCAGCAAATTTGATGAGTGCTCCTTCAATCCCTTCATCCAGATCATTTATGAAGATGTTGAAGAGCACAGGGCCCAAGACAGAACCTTGAGGGACCCCACTACACACTTCCCTCCACGTAGATGTGGTTCCATTGAGGACCACACATTGAGTGTGGTTGGTGAGCCAGCTGCAAATCCATCTGGTAGTTGCACCATCTATCCCACTTTGTTCTATCATACGCAGAAGTAGATTGTGGTCTACCTTATCAAATGCCTTTAAGTCAAAGTATACTTAGATACTTAGTATACAAGGATACTAAGTATACAAGGAAACTTCCACTGCATTTCCTGGTTCACTAATTTAGTCACTTTATCAAAGAAGGCAATAAGATTTGTTTAGCATGACCTGTTCTTAACAAACTCATGCTGGCTTGTAGTAATTACAGTGGACCCTCTACTTAAGGAATTAATCCGTATTGGAACGGTGGCTGTAAGTCGAAAAGTCTGTAGGTCGAATCTCTATTGACCTACAATGCATTGAAAACTGATTAATCCCACAACTGGCAGTTTTTATTCTATTTTTGTTCCATTTTGGTTTTTTTCTGGTCTGTAGGTCGATTCTCCGGCTGCAACGTAGTAATTACAGTGGGCCCTCTACTTAAGGAATTAATCCGTATTGGAACGGTGGCTGTAAGTCGAAAAGTCTGTAGGTCGAATCTCTATTGACCTACAATGCATTGAAAACTGATTAATCCCACAACTGGCAGTTTTTATTCTATTTTTGTTCCATTTTGGTTTTTTTCTGGTCTGTAGGTCGATTCTCCGGCTGCAAGTCGAATCTAAATTTTGCAGCCAGAGAAGTCTGTAACTCGAAAAGTCTGTAAATTGAGCCGTCTGTAAGTCGAGGGTCCACAGTACCTTGTTATTTTCTAGGTGCTCACACCTAGTATACCAGTGTGACCCATTGGTATATATCTGAAAAAAACTGATTATTTTTTCCAGGAATTTCCCAGGTATTGATGTCAAGCTGATTGGATCCACTTTTATCCCTTTTTGAAGACTGGAACCACATCAGCTCTTTTCTAATCCTCTGGCAGTTTCCCTATTCTCCAGGACCTCTCAAAGATTTTCATTCAGGGTTTCCAAGATCACATCTGCCAGTTCTTTTAGTACCCTGGGATGTAAACCATCCAGTCCAGGAGACTTGAATTCATTCAAAGCAGCTGGGTGTTCTTTTGACACTTCCTTACCTATTTTGACCTGCTTTCCTCTCCTGTCTCCCACAGTTGCTGCTTTTGACGAGGTGGACCAATTTTTCCTTTTGCGTAGAAGCAGCTTGAAGAAGAAGCTCTCTTGCTAAGAAGACTTGCCTGTCCTCAGTGAAGGTAAATATTGCAAAATCTTATGTTTCACAGTATCACAATGTTCAATATTAAAACACTTTGGGGTAACACCTTAACTTCACACAATTTACAAAACAACTATCACCATCACTAATGAAAATATGCTCCCCTAACTCTAGAACAAAAACCACTGTAATTCACAGAAAACCTACTTTTAAGTGTGTTGAAGTTTGCCAATGACCAAAATATGACTAAAATATAACATTTATTAGAAAATTACGCAGAAATATAGCATAAGACTTTTAAAAGATCAAAACATGTATTATTCTGTGAAGCTAATTTGAATGGATTGACAGTTTTTTTAAAACAGTTATTTATTTGTTTGTTTGTTTTGTTTGTTTGTTTGTTTGTTTGTTTATGTAAACGGGGATTTTCTGACATGCAGGAAAAGGGCTTCTGTCTTTTAAAGAATTTATTGGCAAAGGGAGGGAGGAATTCTGGGAAAGGGAGAGAGAAAAGCAGCCTTCATTCTTGATGCAGAGGATTGGGGGAGGGGAGGTTTTTGGCCAGAAGCCTCTCTTGGTGGGAATTTGCAGAAAGGGAAGGAGACACAATTGACCACATCAGTGTTGATTTCCCTTTGAGGTAAACTTGGCTGCCTTAAAATGGGATTGTGAGGGAACCCTTTCCATCCAAACAAAAGAAGGGGAGAAGGGTCTCCCCAGAGAAAGAGGCTCCAGAGAAGGTGTGGAGATGGGATCCTGTATCGGCATCACTAAAGGCCACCTGGCCCTTTTCATAGTTCAGGGACACCCGGATCCTCCTCAGCTTCTCACTCAAGGGAAGAAAAGATTGGAGAGGATCATTGAAGGCCTCGTATTCGCCTTCCCATCTCCCCACAGCCCAGATCCCTTCCTTCATTTCCAAAACAACAGGGCCTTTCCTTTATACAGACTTCCTGGCCACCCCCACAGCCCCAAACCCCTCACTTTCCACAGTGACTTCCCAGTAATGTTTGCCTGCTGTGAATCCCTCACATCCTAACACATAGCGACATAGGTCAAATCTCTCAGCAGAGTCGGGCAAATCTTTCCAACTGCCTTCATTTCTCACACTTTTGCGATCCTTGGACAGGATGAGCCAGGGATGTGCTGTGTCCAGATCCAGGATGACATTTGCTGTTTGGGGACAAAGAGGGACATAGAACAAAAGAGAAAGTGAGGAGAATGAGGTGGGGAGAAGTAGTAGAACTGTGACATTAACACACCACAGCAGCTTCTTACAAGCGGTCATTTCAATCTTAAAAAGCGGTCATTTTTAAAAAGTTCTGTATAATAAATAAAAACAAGAAAAAAAGAAATCCACAGACGCTGCCATTGATTGTAGCCTGAGGTGTCCTTGCATCCTGCCAGAATCAAGGCATGGACAGATTATGGACCTTGTTTCCCCATCATACTTGTGTGTGACTCCTTATGGGTGAGCAGTTCTTTATGTGGGAGTCCAGGGCTTCTCCATATCTCTGAGCAGGAAGTATTAGGGTCCAGAATGTGTTGTTGCTCTTTCATGAGACACAGGAGTGACCTCAAGTGTGAGCTGGACATGACAACATGAGGGTGTAATATCAATTTCTCTTTGAGGTCTGTCTTTTTGTAGCTTGTTCTTGGGTACCAGTGTGACCCACAACATCTAGGGTCCATGCCATTGGGCACCTTCTAATACAAGATGGACCATACTTCCCCAGCGTAGACCCTCTACTTTATCCATTTGCTGGCCAGGCTGTTTCCACACACAACCATCAAATTACCCTCCTTCCAGGAGTGGCGGGGGGCCCTGCAGTGGGGTCACTATCATCTCTCCATTCCTCTTCTGCAGTGTTCTTCAGAAGCAACAACACAAAAGTGTCAATGTCAGGATACTTGAACCTGCTAAGACTCTCTGGCCTTGCTCGGGGATTGTGTGTGAAAGCATGAGAGTAGGAGGGAAAATGGAGGCATGGCAATCCACCACCACCCTCAGATAGGGCAGAGGTGGGGCATGGGAAGGGAATTTTCCTTCTGGGAGGGAGGGAGGAGGCCTTTATTCGGGTGACCCTTATTAAGGCCCTGCAGTAGAGCCACTATCCTCTCTCCATTCCGCTTCTGTGGTCTCCCTCAGCAGCAGCAGCAGAAGGCAAGACCTTGGGTTTCAGACATTTGCAACTCTGGGAAACCCTCTTTCAGATGCAAGGAATCCCCAAATATTCCTGTTACAACAAATTTAGTTGTTTATGACTTTCCTATTAGCTTTCTCTTAATAAGAACAAACATCAGGAGTGACAGGAGAGCTTAAGGAAACTAGTTTTGAGCTGACCTGGAAAATGGCAACGGATGGGATAAATGCAGCTCATTTTTGGCACATTTTCTGATAAGCTGAAAAAAAAAGTAGGTTTTTCTTTCTGTATACCAGGATTTCAGATGGCTTACTTCATCAGCCCCTCCTTTCACAACCCCTCCAGTGCGACCCAGGGACACCTCACCCACCGACCCACCGGCATCCATAACTCTGTGTCATGACCTCTCCATATGCCTTCTTCATTATCTCAACCATTTGGGCCAGAGAGTCTTAACAGGTTCAAGTATCCTGATGTTTTTCCAGTTTTGATTTATTTTTATTTCTCGCTTATCTGCTGTGGTGCAAAAGTGAGAATGTCAAAATGATTTAAAAGCAGAATGCAGGGAATGTCCATCCCTACTTCACTTTCTCCTGCCTGCCTGCCTTGTTTTACCCATCCACCTCTTCTAAAAACCTTCATATTTTCGTTTACAATTTTCACTTCTGTGTTATGTGTGAAAGTGATAACATTAAGGAAAGCGGAAAGGAGGAACAAATCATTTCCCAGGAAAACGAAACAGGAGCACCTTTAAGGCATGGAGCGGAGGAGACTGAGCATTCCCAAATCTCCAGCTCCGAGTACCTCTTTAAAACAAGCTCTTTTTCCCAGAAAAAGAAGGGAAGGGCGGGTGCATTCTGAATCACAAGTCAAGTCCAAGTCACTGAAAACAAAAACCCAAGTCAAGGACAAGTCGAGTCACTGGTGCAACTTAAGTCCGACTTGAAAGTTGAGTTCCGCCACCAGAGTCCCCATCCCTGGAACCAGGCATACCTCCGTGTAGGGCTCACATGAGAAGATCCTGGTGGTGGGCCCACAAAGATGAAACTAATCATAGATACTAAGAATAAAATCTTTATTGTGCCCAATTTTTTATTGTCCTCCCCTCGCCTTCTGCCAATATTCTTCCCTAGTGTTTCTTTTTGAGTGTGTGCACCTGTTGTTCTTAGTGAGGATTGACCCACAAAAACAAAAGTGTTCATTGTTAAGATGTTGTTGTTGAGTTGTTAAGTCATGTCCAACTCTTCATGACCCCCATGGACCAGAGCACGCCAGGCCCTCCTGTCTTCCACTGCCTCCCGGAGTTGGGTCAAATTCATGTTGGCAACGTCGCTGACACTGTCCAGCCATCTCGTCCTCTGTCGTCCCCTTCTCCTCTTGCCCTCGCACTTTCCCAACATCAGGGTGTTAAGATGTAAATGTTATATTATTCCCCCCTCCTTTTCCCATTGCCAAATATTCCTTCTGATTGAGTTTCTCTGCACAGTGTAGTGACTTGCAGCACTGGGCTGAGTGACAACTAGACCTGTGGTGGAGGAGCCTCTCTGAGCTGCAGAAGGAGCGAGCAATTGATTTATAGAGATCTCCTCCAGATGGGTCTAGCAATTTTATTCATCTCTTCAAGAACCTTAAAACAAAATGCATGAATGTGTGAGCCATCAGAAATGTACCTTTCTGCCGCATGGTTGTTTTATAATTGACTTGGGCCTTTCTGACAGTCTGGGGTCCAGGTGTCAAAGTATCTATGAAAAGAAACGGATAGAAAGATTAAGCAGCACAGCTTCTTGTACACAAAAATAGTCAGTCTAAAAGGTTGCATAGGTTTCTAAAACAGGATTAAGTAAAAACTGCATGGATGCTTGTTCATCTCAGAAAACTGTTCTGAATTTGAATTGTTTTGAATTTGAAAATTGTTTTGAAAGCCTTCGATAATACATTGTTTTGAATTTATTTACCTTTATTTCCCTTTCTTTTTCTCAAAGATTCTTCTCTTAGGCTTTTCCTTAGTGACTGGTGGTGTGAGAGGGGTTTTAAATGGACTGTTGTTTAATTGTATTTTAACACTGATTTTAGTTACTATTTTAATATAGTACCTGTTTAAATCTTTTTAAATGTTTTAGATGTACTGACTTAGCTTTTAAATACTGTTTAAGCTGCCTCAGGTCCTTTTGGGTAGAAAAGTGGCATAGAAATATTTTTAATTAATTAATTAATTAATTAAAGTAGTGAATAGTTGATCACAGGAGTCTGAAGAACAGATTGTTTTAAAAAAAACTTTGAGGCAGTTTTATTTGTTTTACAAAGGCTGGAATAGCCTTTTGCATTCTTGATGGAATTAATTATCAATTTTGGTCTTTTAAAAAAGAAGAAGTTCACCAGGAGTTTAGAATCATACTCGTGCAATTTTTGCTTACAGTATTGAATATTTTATGCTATTCTGCTGCATTCAAGCATCGTGAGTTCCTTCCTTCCTTTTTTCTTTTCATGTAAACCACATATTTTAGACGCATCATTTTTTTGTGTGTGGTATCTTTCTGAAGGATAAATTCCCCTAGTACAGTTGGGCTCCCTTATCTGTGTAATCAGTACCTGATGATTCACTTATCCACAGTATAAAAACACTAAAAATATTAAAATGAAAAATATATACACAGGCAATCCTCACGTAATGGCCAAGTTCCGTTCCTACGACCAGATCATTAAGTGAATTGGTAGATAAGTGAGGAGGAATAAACTGTATACAAGAGTTATAAATAATGTGCTGTGGAAAAGGGGCATGGCAAAGATGCAAGGATGGATTTATGAGGGTCGTAAAGGGTTGTAAATCGTTAAACAAGTAGATCGTCAACTGAGAAGCACCTGTATATTTCTAAAGATTTAGTTACCAGCGTGAGCCACTAGATGGAGTAAGAAACCATGCTATGTATACTGTTCTGTAGAGAAATATACTGTACAGTACAGTATTTCCACAACATCATTGCCACAATAATTCACCAGAGAGAACCAGAGCCCACACAGTACAGTATTCTTGACTATAATATACAGTTTTCAGTATCCATGCGTGGAGAGGGATCTTGGAACTGATCCCCCACAGACAGAAGGGCCCTACTGTACTTTATTCTCTGTAATAATTCCTGCTTTTAAAAAAAGTTCACTACCTTCCTTAATGCATTCCTCTCTTAGTACACCATTGAGGTGGCCCCAGAGAACACCTATAACTATATGTGGACTGGAGTTTTCATTAATGAATACCTCTATAGCCATGGTTCCTAGACAGGCAATTTGATTTTAAAAAATACAATCAATTTAACTGTAGCTGATTTTTGATTTTTTTTTGCTATTTATTATTTTATTTTATGATGTCCTATCAAAAAATAAAATGCTATGCTTTATGATGATTAATTGTGTTTCGTTCTCTGTTGTACATCGCCCAGTATGGCCCCAGCCCAGATGGTGCAGCATAAAAGTTAAATGAATGAATGAATGAATGAATGAATGAATGAATGAATGAATGAATGAATGAATGAATGAATGAATGAATGAATGAATGAATGAATGAATGAATGAATTGTATGTAACTCCAAAAAGCGATTGAAAAGCTCTAAGAAAAATTTCAAAAGTTGGGAGGTCTGGCAATCTCTTAATGTTTTAAAGACCAGTACACAAAAGAATTAATTGAAAGTTCTCACCACTAGGACAGGTAAGCACTGGACTCTCTAAAATTTAGGGGACCAACAGTGCCTCTCCCACTCCTTCACGCCTGCAGACATATAGTGGTGCCTCGCTTGATAATGTTAATTCGTTCCACCGAAATCGCTGTAGAGCGAAAACATCGTCAAACAAAATTTTAAAAACCCATTGAAACGCATTGAAAACCGTTCAATGCATTCCAATGGGCTGAATACCTGCTCATCCAGCGAAGATCCTCCATACGGTGGCCATTTTCGGTGCCTGTAAAGCGAGGAATCCATCCTAGAAAACAGCGGGGGCCATTTTCTTCAGCCGGTGGCCATTTTGAAACCCGAAGCAGGGAAACAATCATCGCACAGCGAAAAAACCCCATTTAAAACATTGTTTTGCAATCGCAAAAGTGATCGCAAGACCGTCAACATAAAGCGGATTCGTCGTAGAGCGGGGTAATCATCCAGCAGGGCACAACTGTATTATGTTCCCACTGTTGAAGAGGCTAGCGCCTCTTGTGACAACACAGGCCCCACACCATGTCCTCACAGAGATCCATCCCACGGCATTGGACCCCAGATATAATGAGGGGATGGGGAAGATGCTCCCATGAAAGCCCCTAACAAACAACACTTCAAAACTGTTCCAGAAAAATACTTCTATTGGTTTTTGAAAAGAGGCTAAACGGGTATCCCGGTCCTCAGTGGAGACAGCCCGGCTCAGCTCCAGCAGGATGCCTGCCTTCTAGTCCCTCGCCTCACCCTGGAGAAGAGGAAGCTTCTGGCCCTACAAGAGAAAGAGAGAGATAAACAACTGCTAAGGGGCAAGCTCGTCCACTACCATCAGTGGACGAGCAGATGCCACAGCTTCTGTCTGCCAACTTCCACCAACTTTCCCCCCAGTCCATCGCCGACATCAGCCAGCTTCAAGCCACAGATCTCCGCCAGCCTCGAGCTGTTAACTCGCAAACCCACTTAGCAAGTTCATAACTTGCTTTGGGCGGAAGGGCTGGGTCCCCTGCAGCCGCTACTGCCACTCTCTCTGCCGGGCTGCCCTCTGGCCACTGGCCTCCCCTCTGGTCTCCTTCCCTACCCAGCAAACCCCTTTTATCTGCCAGCAGAGAGGTGGGACCCTTGTGAGGTGACAAAGAACGGGGTTGGGTTCCCAAGGCAGCAGCAGCACCCTTGGGATTGGCTGTCCTGAAGATGATGTCAGCAATCCCTCTTATCATGTGATTTGCCCACAGAAGCTTGCGTTTTATATGATTTTTAAATATATATTTTTATTAGTGGCCTATAAATGTATCACCTGTCACCAATCCCTCTGATAGTTAAATCTCCCCATGTTGACCTTCTGACAGGATTCTAGGCTGGTGCTCCAAAAAGCTATCTTCCAGCATCTGCACAAACAAGGAACTTTCCTAAGCTCTGAGCTAGGGGAAAAATGAAAGTAATAATTGAATAAAGATGGGCACAGTAACATAATGCAGCCTTTGACCCTTTTGGTCTCTCTCTCTCTCTCCCCCCCCCCTCTTTTTGGACATTTTTTTTCTTGTCCTTGCCATGAAATAGATACCATAAGGAGCCAATTTTAACACCATATTGGTGCTTGCATACTGGTGTTTGCATAAGGTTTGAGTACCTTGCCCTGGCTAATTGAAAGGTGTCAAGGAGTGTCCGGGTCACATGCCTGGTCATGCGCCTGATTCGTTCAAGCAGAATGTTCCCCAGCACTTCATCAATCAGCTGCAGGTAGCCATGGCAAGTTATTCAAATCTTATGTAAATGCCAATAGGATTTCAATTAAAATATCTTTAAATAGAAAGTACTTCCTTTCTGTCTGCCTCTCAGCATTGAACACATTACTGCAAAAGTATTGCAGACAGTTGGGTAGACATCCGTTTCTCTCAGGCTGGGCATACAGTAGGATCCCAGTATCTGCTGGATGTATATCCATGTTTTCACTTATCTGTGGTCTGAAATTTTGAAAACGATTGAAAGGAGGGGGAAAAAAACCTAGAAATAAGTATTTTCACAATGTAGTTACCTGAACTGGCCACTATAGGGAGCCAGAGACCATGCTATGTATTGTGGTGGTTCCGTTGAGGGCTTAACTGAGACCAGGCTGTAAGTGTTGAAGGGAATCAGCCAGGGAGTACATCTGGAAGCGATGACTAATCTACAGAATAAAATCAATAGAAATTGCAGCTACACAATGGTGCCAAAATTTTTTTTTTTTTAAACCCTGCCTGGTTCTAGAAACGATGACAACGCAGTCAGCACTGTTAAAGCAAGAGCAGTTTTCCGATGACACATACAGGCCTCCTTCCCTTAATTCCTACTCTTCCTTGATCTGCTTGCCTGTCTGCTTTAAAGGGCCTTGTTTTCCCAGACTCTTCCTCCTTGCAGCTGTTCCATTTTTTTCCATGTTGAGTATTTACAGGAGGAGAAACAGTGGTTGAAAGTCAGGAAAGTGAAACTAACTAGCTGACGTCCTGGTGGGAGGACAAACGGCCACTGCTCCGCGTGATTCCCTCCAAGGCTTCCGCGAGGAAGGCGTCTGCTCCATCTGCTTGGACTATTTCAAGGATCCTGTGATCACAGAATGCAGCCACAATTTCTGCAGGGCCTGCCTGACCCACTACTGGGCGGGCTTGGGGGCCCGAGAGGTTTCCTGCCCTCAATGCAGAGAAAAAGTCCGAAGGAACCTCATTCCCAATCGGCAGCTGGCCAACGTTGCGGAATTAACCAGGAAGCTCCATTTTCAAGGGGAAATGAGCCCCACCGAGGGAAAGGGAGGCACTTGTGGGAAGCACCTGGAGCCCTTGAAGCTCTTCTGCAAAGAGGACCACGCCCTCATCTGTGTGGTTTGTGACAGATCCAAAGAGCACCAAAAGTCCGAAGGAACCTCATTCCCAATCGGCAGCTGGCCAACGTTGCGGAATTAACCAGGAAGCTCCATTTTCAAGGGGAAATGAGCCCCACCGAGGGAAAGGGAGGCACTTGTGGGAAGCACCTGGAGCCCTTGAAGCTCTTCTGCAAAGAGGACCACGCCCTCATCTGTGTGGTTTGTGACAGATCCAAAGAGCACCGGAGCCATAAGGGCACTTGTGGGAAGCACCGGGAGCCCTTGAAGCTTTTCTGCAAGGAGGACCAAGCCCTCATCTGTGGTTTGTGACAGATCCAAAGAGCACCGGAGCCATAACGTGGTTCCTCTAGAGGAGGCCGCCCAGGACTACAAGGTCAGAGGACATGGATGTGACCCCAAAAGCTCACATGAATATAGAGCAGTTAAGCTTTAATGTTTTTGTCTTCTTTATTTAAATTTTTCTATTGTTTTTCCTGATCAGGTAGGAAGAGCATCCACATAAATAACTGGATTTGGGAACCTATTAGTGCTACCCTTGATGGTTGACCGGGCAGTAATTTTTTTAATCTGTGTACATTGAAAGAAATCCTATATTTGGAATTCTGGGATGGAGACAATTTCCCAGGAGGAAATTGTCATGGATCTGCAGTGGGAGGTGGGAAAGTTTACTTATTTCAAATATTTTTGCTCTGGCTTTCTCCCTAAAAAGGATCCAAGATGGCTTACATCCAAGGTTCCCCTTAAGGAGTAAATGGACACATGGGCATGACTCTGCCTCCCTCCTTCCCTCTTCCTCCAGCTGTCTTCCTCCTCTGCACAGAGATATTTTCCAACCATTCAGTTCCTGTCAGGAGGAAACCCTGAGGGTGGGATGGAGCAGAGGAAAGGGGCCTGAAAATTACAAGGTACCTTGCTTACTTCATTAAAAGCCCTTGTTTAAAACTAAAAACACCGAAATATTGAAAAAGGAACAAAGAAATCCCACAAGCAATTTCCAAAGCACCGTCGAACCAGTAATGCATAACCATCCATCTAAAAATCCCACTCAGGTCACCCGTCACTGAAGGAAAGCCTGCCTGAAGAAAACAAAAGTTCTGGGCCATGCCTGAAAAATTCTCCTGCTTCATCTAAGAGATTCATGGAGCCCTGCAAGACTTGATTTCAAGTCCATGGTTTTGCTTACAAACGTGTTCTCACGTTCCAGCAACAGTGTGGAACCTTCCTTTGAAACACAGACAGCTGTTCCAGACAGACTGTCCTTTTTTTTTAGGATTCAGGAGCACTCTATCAAGGCAGGGGGGCAGGGTGCCCTCACGCCATGTGGGCCTAAAAAATCCCATTTCTAAGGATCAGTGGGCTATCCAAGGTGAAAGAGAGCCCTCCTCCCCTCCGTGAACAGAGAACAAGCCTGTTCTTTGGCTCTTCTTTGCCCCTGAACTAAAAACCGACTTCTCTTTCCCTTTTAGCACCTGATCTGTTGTCACCTGGAGCGTCTGGAGGAGGAGAGAGTAAAAGTTGTGGCAAACAGAGCAGAAACAGAAGAAGAAAGCCAATACCTAATGGTAAGTATCAATATTACTAAAAAGGGAGCCGTTTCTTAAGCTAATATGTGGAAATTTGATATAAAATGTGGCGGCCACCAGACAGCCCTGCTCTACAGAACATGTATTTTTTGGAAACAGGTTCATAAATTATTGGGATGTGAGGGCTGGCTCTCAGCTGGTTCCAACCCTCTCTCGAAGGCCTGCAAGTAGAGGTAATCTCCATGGACCCAAATTTGAGGGGTTCCTCAGGGGTCATACGTCTCTCCTGTGCTTTTAATTATCTATATTTTTGGGGACTACAGTGGTACCTCGTCTTAAGAACTTAATCAAGTATAACTTGTCTAGAGGTAATCTTCTCCATGGACCCAAACTTGAGGGGTTCCTCAGGGGTCATACATCTCTCCTGTGCTTTTAATTATCTATATTGTTTGGGACTACAGTGGTACCTCGGCTTAAGAACTTAATCCATATTGGGACTGCGTTCTTAAGTCGAAACCTTCTTAAATCGAAGCACCATTTCCCATAGGAATGCATTGAAAACCATTTAATCCGTATCTGCTGTTTTTCGTTCTTAACTCAAGGCGCTGTTCTTAAATCAAAGCATTAGTTCCCATAGGAACTAAGGCAAAGCCGGTTAATCCATATCTACCACTAGGGGCTGATAGGTTGGAACTGAACCC